CTGGAGTTTATGTGTGGGATTAATGGACTCGTATTGGGGCGAGCAACTTGAGCAAGCAGGCCCGAAATGAGCTGAGCTCAGTCTGAGGCTGTACTCCAGCACCACCGAAAGCTTCACAGTTTATTATGCGTTTTGTGCTGAATAACAGCAGTACAAAACGCATATTGTCGCGGTCTTGTCTGTGTGTGTGTGTGTGTGTGTTCCAGATTTTGTCCCGCACCTTCAACTCGGGAACCACAAAATTAGGCGGCTGAAATTTTAGTAGAGTGTTCCCCACCAATGTGTAATCCCGCAAATTTAAGTTCAGCCTTTCCCGTCCGCGCGAGTAACACGTACGGCCCCGTAAAAGTTTTGGCGAGTAAAATCATTATCTCGGGAACAAGTGAAATTAAGGAGCCAAAATTATATGGGTATGCCCCCTGCCCACGTGCGACCGAGAAAACTTAAATTTATCCTTCCCGTGCCCGCGGGTAACATATACGGCCCCGTGAAACTTTTGGCAGGTAAATTACTATCTCGAGAACCACGGAATCTAGGAAGCTGAAATTTTAATGTAATGATCCCCCGCTCAAGTATGGCCTCGCAAATTGAAATTCAGCGTTTCCACGCTCTGTGGTATCACTGCGGCCATGTGAAAATTTCGACGGGTAAATTATTATCTCGGGGATTATAAAAACCAGGGAGCTGAAATTTTACGGTAATGCCCCCGCCCACATACAATCCCGCAAATTTAAGTTCAGCCTTTCCGAATGTCCGAGTATCATTTACGGCCCGTGAAACTTTCGGCGGGAAAATTGTTATCTCAGGAACCGCAGAAACTGGGAATCTGAAATTCTAGGGTGGTTTCCTCTACCAACGTACAACCCCACAAATCTGGACTCAGCCTCCACGCATCCCTAGGTACCACTTACGGCACCGTGAAAGTTTTAGTAGGGAAATTTTTATCTCAAATTGCAAAAGCTAGAAAGCTGAAATTTTAGTGTGGCATCTCCTGCCCACATACCATTCCGCAAATTTTCAACGGCACTGTGAAAGTTTTGGCGGGGAAATTATTATTTCC